TGGATAGCTGTTGTTGCCGTCCATCAGGATAAAAGATTGTATATTAACACTCTGTTGCTCATGTACAACATTCCTGATTTTAAAGCACTTGAAGTAACCTTTACTCCTTTTTTGGGGGAGGGGGGGTTGTAATATAAAGCTTTAATGTTCTTGACTCAAAAGTCATGTATTGTACAGTGTTACAGCTAAGGGTGCTTGATGTCGTATTTTTCCCATATAGTAGCTATTTTGTGACATTGTGTGTGTTGTTCCAAGAAAATTAAAATAAAGAGATTTGAAAAAAAAGGCTAAATAATCCATGCCATGTCTTACGCCGTGTCTCTGCTCGCTGTCGCGCTTCAACTGCTGTAACTGCAACTGGACGCATTAAAGCAAATGTGCATCATGTTGCGCCTGTCACGTGTATGTTCCCGTTTAGTTCCTGTTGTCCTTATTTGGTCCTTCCAGTTCCTTTTCCCATTATTAGTATCACCTGTTCCTTGTTATTAGTTATCCCTATCACCTGTCTGCCCCTCGTTATCTGCCCTATTTAGTTCTAGCCCGTTCTGTACTCCCGTGTCTGGAATTGTTTGTCAACTCCTTGTGCTACGTGTGATTCCCTGAAAAAAAGAATTGTACTCCTGGTTTCCTCGTTCCTCGCTCCGTGCTCCTCACAGTAGCAACCCGTGACAGAATTCCGGACCACACAAAAAGTGAGCGGCGACTTTTCCTCACGTTTGTTTTTTCCGCCTTTTTGAAAAGTTTTTTGCTTTCCTTGTTTTCCCCGCGGCTATGGAAATTGCCGCTCGGTTCTCCGCCTTAGCTCGCCTAGATCTCCCCTTTGTCGAGTATTCCTGGGAGTTCTGCAGGCTCGCCACGGCTACGGCCCTCGATGACGCCACCATTAATTCTCTATTCTGGCTCGGGGCCAACTACCATCTCCCCGTGGACCTCCCAGACCCCACGGGACTGAGCTGAAGGGAAGGAATCCTCCGGTGTCTGGAGAGTGTCCTGCCCCGAACCAGAACCAGCCCGCCATCCACGGCCTACTCTAGTTTACCGGCCATTAATATGGCTAGCCCAACGAACATTAATATGGCAAGCCCGCCATGCGTTCATGAGGCCCCAGTGTCGATTCCAGCCCCAGTGCCTGCTCCTCGTAAGCGCCTTCCAGAGCTCGCTCCAGTGTTGGCTCCAGCCCCAGAGCTCACTCCAGTGTCTGCTCCAGTCCCAAAACTCACTCCAGTGCCAGCTCCTCGAAAGCGCTTTGCTGTGCCTGCTCCTCCAGAGCACCTTCCAGTGCCAGCACCAAGTAAGTGCTACCCTGATCCCCAGTGCCAGCACCTCGTAAGTGCTACCCTGATCCCCAGTTCAACCCAGGAAGGGCTCCTGATCCCGGGTTAAGCCCAGGAAGGGCTTCTGATCCCTAGTTCAGCCCAGGAAGAGCTCCTGTTCCTGAGTATAGCCCACGGAGGGCTCCTGATCCCCAGTTCGGCCCAGGAAGGGCTCCTGTTCCCCAGTTCGGCCCAGGAAGAGCTCATGTTCCCGAGTATAGCCCAGGGAGGGCTCCTGTTCCCCAGTTCAGCCCAGTGAGGGCTCCTGTTCCCGAGTCAAGCCCAGGGAGGGCTCCTGATCCCCAGTCAGCCCAGGAAGAGCTCCTGTTCCTGAGTATAGCCCACGGAGGGCTCCTGATCCCCAGTTCGGCCCAGGAAGGGCTCCTGTTCCCCAGTTCGGCTCAGGAAGAGCTCATGTTCCCGAGTATAGCCCAGGGAGGGCTCCTGTTCCCCAGTTCAGCCCAGTGAGGGCTCCTGTTCCCGAGTCAAGCCCAGGGAGGGCTCCTGATCCCCAGTCAAGCCCAGGGAGGGCTCCTGATCCCCAGTCAAGCCCAGGGAGGGCTCCTGATCCCCAGTCAAGCCCAGGGAGGGCTCCTGATCCCCAGTCAAGCCCAGGGAGGGCTCCTGATCCCCAGCTAAGGCCACGGAGGATCCACCATGGCCTCCCGATTCCCCTGCTTCGCCATGGCTCCCTGATGTGCCCTGGAGGCTCTCCTTGTCTCCACCCTGTTCCAGTCCTGCACCAGCCTCCAGGATGCGCGCCCCCCCTCCCTGATGGTACTGTTACGGCGCGGGATGCGCTGTCCAGAAGGGGGGCGATCTGTCACGTATATGTTCCTGTTGTCCTTATTTGATCCTTCCAGTTCCTTTTCCCATTATTAGTATCACCTGTTCCTTGTTATTAGTTAATGTCTGTCTGTCTGCCCCTCGTTATCTGCCCTATTTAGTTCTAGCCCTATTTAGTTCTAGTTCTCCCTTGTCTGGAATTGTTTGTCAACTCCTTGTGCTAAACTCCTTTGTTTTGTACTCCTGGTCTCCTCGTTCCTCGCTCCGTGCTCCTCACAGTAGCAACCCGTGACAGTGCCTCGTCCAGAGTAGACGGCATTGCAGTAGGTTTCTATTTGCTTTGGACGCTTCGCGAGGGTATTACTGATCATGTTCGGGATCTGTGAATGATCATGGTCTATAATCCTGAGTTTATCCTCATTCACTGATCCTGATGGAAATATAAAGAAACCTTACACTCCAACAATCTTTTGGAAACTTTTTTTTTTTTAACCACACAAGCAGCACTTCAGCTCAATTTGAACGAAGTGTCCATAGAATGCAGTTCCTTACAGGGGTGCAAATTGAATCTGCTCCCACCCTGATTGTAAAGTAAAACGTGATTGGTTATAATGAGAACATGCTACGGGTCACGAATTCGGTCAATGGACTTCCGTTTATTCACCTCCAGAGGTCACCCTTTCCTTGACTCTAGCACAACACAAACTGTTGCATAGCACCCCGGACTAAATATCCCATCATTCATTGCACTGTTTGCACACTGCACTGACTGCACTCATTGCACACAGCTGTTTCTAATTACCTCACTCACTGTATAACACCCACTCTAACCACCTTTCTCTGCTGAGTATTGTTTAGCCTGTACCCCTTTCCGAGTCTCCGTGTTTTGCCTTGCCTGTTTCTGCGGTATCTGATCTTTGCCTGTTTTCCTGGATTTTTCCCTCGTCTCGCCCCTGTGATTCTGTCTGCCGATCGGTGACCTACGCTAGCCCTAGGACTATTTTTGTGTTTTGCCCGCCATATACCTGTTTGCCATTGTTTGACCCTGCCTGTTTACCACGTCTCTTTAATAAATGCTTGCAGATGGATCCACACGTCTCATGTCTCGTCAGCCCCGTTACACTACGATTGGTCAGCAAAGTGTTGCTGTTATCTGATTGGCTTGAGTAGAAGGTGGGTGGAGTCCATACATTTGTGGATTGGTGTGCGTCTTGACGCTAAAAATGTCTCAAAATCCACAAATGCGTGCAGCGATCTACAAATGCACAGGACGAGATTCACAAATAAATACCAGGCAAAGTTGTGTTTGTAGAATAAAAAGATATTTGTGAATATATATATATGTATATTTTATTTGCAAGTCTCATTTTTTTTATTTGTGAATTGAATACATGTTTGAGAAACTTAAGATTTATTTGTGGATGTCATTCTATTTATTTTGTGAATATGTTTGGCTTTTGTTAATCGCTTTACATTTATTTGTGGATCATTTATTTATTTGGAATAATGCAACAATTCTACCCTCATACTTTCGTGTCTTGTGCTTGAATGCTTTAAAATCTCTTAAATGTTTAAATTGGTAAATGCTTTCATGACGACGCGCAGCAGCGCCCCGTCAACTGACCTGAGTGTCTTTTATGCTGGCCTTGGGCAGCCGGTTGAAATAGTGCACACTTCAACGTTTGGTTTTCTGTGACATTTTGGTAGTGAATTTGTGCTTGTCAACTTTTTAAACTTGTCAGCTACTGTTATCTAAATGTGTAGCTGGCTGACATAGATGATGTTTTGTTGAAATTGCAACAAATGACTTGCGATAGTCTTGTCCCACATGTCATTTTTCAGCATATGTATTCATGAATTTATTGCTTTCTTGGATTTTCCAAGAATTGCGAACTTACTGTGAATTGTCTTAGTAAGGAAAGTATACTAAATATATTGGCACAATTGATCATTTTGGCTGGGCAAATGAAAACCAGAACTACTGGCTTGATAAGGCTAGCAGACAGAAATGTTACTAAAAATATTGTTCCATGCAGAGTTGTTTTTCATTACCAGGACTCTGGTACTCATGGCATTAGCCTAATGTTCCTGATTTGAGGTTGCATGATGATAACTTGAAGGTGTTTATGTGCTTGAAGCTTATTTATTTTATTACTTAATGTGTGAAAGCCTGTGCCCTAAGCTTTTTCTACAGTTTTACAAATGATTAAATTGGAAAACAAAATCAGTTTCCAGATTGCAGTAGTAAACTTCTGGTTCAAGGAAAGAACCTAGTTTGTTCAAACTTTTTTTTTTTCCAAAAAGAGTGTATATAGCTGCGTTGTTTACCCTCTTTGATATATTTTTTTTAACATATATTAAAAAATTCCATAATGTGATTAATAAAAATGAAAATAAATCTCCTACCCATATATGGTATGGAATAGGCCACATATTTTAGTTATATAGCAGTTAGTCTTATAAGCTGTATAACATACAAACTACACTCTACACTACAAGCTGTAATTAGTACTTGTTGCAACATATTTGTTCTAAGCTACATATAGTCTGACAGTTGAGCGCTTTTCGTGTCATTGTATTCACTGCATTAGCCATGAACGTACATGGCTGGGGTGATAAAATAAATATGCTTATCAACTTTCAAAAGGCAGGAGAATACACTTCCCATTTCTTTTATTCACATCAAAGGTCAAATTCTGTATTTTGGTGCTCATTCGTCTGTTGGCTTGTGCTTTCCATCTAACAAAAAGGAGGGCTTCCAGTCATCTACTTTGCCCTGATGGAAGCATAAAGTGCCATGGTGATTTAAAGAGCTTTTCACCAATATCCTTTTTGTACTTGGAGATGTTATAACTTTTCCTTCTCTTCCTCCTTCTGCCCGCTTCTCATTGCCACCAGCAGCATCCATGATGGCTAGCAGGGCGTTGATAGAAGTTTGCCCTCTAGGTCAGTTCCCTTGTGGAAACTTGAGTGTGTGTTTGCCCCAGGTCCTTCAGTGTAATGGCCACAGGGACTGCAAGAACGGAGCAGATGAAGAACACTGCGGTGAGGCCATTTCACTTTGCTGATTGCTGCATGAAATTTAATAGATGCACTTCAAGCTGTTCTCAATTCTAAAGCTATTCAGCAATTTAAAATAGGCAGTGAATTTATAGTCCGGTCTTACAACTGGGACTAAATTTTATGTCAACGATGACTATGATTCCACTCTGAAATACATTAGGACATGATGTTTATTCAACATTGATGTAATTAGCTTTGAAGGGAGAAATTCTGACATCTCTTTTAGAACGCAAAGGCAATTTATGTCTTCAAACTGTAACATCTTTATATAGTTATGGTGACTTTCTCATGCAAAGGCTTGCTTTCACTTTCTGCAGGGGACAACAGCGGATGGGCGGATATCTTTGATCGAAACTTTAAGAAGGCAGAGCCACAAGATCTTCCTAATGACTGCTGTATGTTTCCCGGTCTTGATCCGATTTCCTTAGGAAAATATAATAGATAGATTAGCATAAGTGATCTTATCTTGGGGCTCATTCAAAAAAACTAGTCCAAAACACTAAAAACTAGTCCAAAACGCTGCTGCAACTTCCTTGTGAGGGCCAGACTTAGATTTTCTTTTCTTTTTCTTTTTTCTTTTCCGCTCAGAGTTTATTTGATATATTTACAGCCTTACACTTCAATAGTCTACTGGTCACTTTTAAAGTAAGAAATCCTATAGGCTGCATTTTACTGTAATACATCATAAATCTGCACTGCATTTATAAACTTATGTATGTGGATGATTATGAATATTAATTAAGTTAAGCTTGCCCAGTAATCGTCGTATAAACTGTATATGTATATGTATATAATTTTTTTTCCAGTGCAGACCTAATTTGAACGACGCCAAAAAATGCATTAATACAAATATGGGTAAATATGTTTATTGGTTCAACCTTATTAATCATATGTAATAATAGAAATGCTGCGTTGACATTATTCCTGGCAGAACTTAACAATAGTAGGAAAACCAATGAAACAACAATAATGCAATAAATCTCTTTTTTAAGCTTTATGTACTAGATGTAATAATAATGTATTACTATAATGTATTACTATAATAATTGAATTTGTGTGTATGTTTATATTGATCTTGTACAGTTCTGCCACAGTACCCAGAGAGCTGTGATTGCATTAAGACGGAGGTGGAATGTGTGGACGTGAACCTGCATGTCGTACCTGTCCTCTCTTCCAATGTGACTTGGTTGTAAGTACATCAAGCTGGGATCCATCTGCAGAGCTTTACTCCTCGGCTCCCACGAGAGTTTATTAACTGTAGCTGGACAAGCGGAGTACAAATTTGACATCAGTGAGACATGGACCTTCATCGTTAAGCCATAAATCTTAACAAGATATAGAGCTTCTTTGCACTGAACAATTACCAAAAGAAAGAAACAATATGCACACTTCTTGAAAGGTGGAGTTGTATTTTGTTTGTTGGTTTTGGTTATGTTTATTGTGCATAATGTTCTATGCTTATGATACTTTAGATTTTTTTAATGATCTGAACTTTGAAGATATTAAGAGATACAGGGTGGAAGAGGAAGGCATATTTTAAGATAATTTATGATTTTTGGAATTTTTGAATTTAGGATGCTGGAGATGATCTTTTGGATTCTGGGGATGTTTTTGGAAAATAAAGGAACGTTAGATAATTAATATCAGTGGTTACTAAACTTGTATCTAAGAAAACCAGATTGTTTCATCCTTGTGGAATGAAAAGGCTTCTTAAAGAGATAATTCACCCAAAAAATGACAGTTCTGTTCATCATTTACTCTAGAATGACCCTATGTGATTTTTCTTTTTGTCTGGAACTCCAAAGGAGATATTTAAAATGTCCATGTTTTTCTTTCTTTTCTATACAACAAAAGCTCTGTCGATTCAAACAAGCTCAAAAAATAAAAAGTAGTCCATGAATCTGAATGAGTTTTGAAAGGACGGAGAGAAGAGGAGGATTTTGAGTAACTAATGACTTACATATTGGTCTGTTCCTCACACAAAGACATCATATGGCTTTAGCTAATGGAATGGGATATAAAAAGAATGGTTTCGAACAGCATTACTGGTCAAGTGAAAGATGACAGGATTTTCCTTTTACAGATGAACTGTGTCTGCAATGCTGTGCTGTTTGTAATCCAATGCTTTATAATTGTATAGGTCTCTGAAGAACAATAGGATTAGGCATTTGGATGATTACATCTTCTCCAAGTACACACAACTGCAGAGACTGTGAGTATCAGTTAATTAAGTGTAAAAGTGCACCATTGTAAATAATGAAAATCAGACATGGATGAAAAAGACAAGTCAGATTATCAGTATAAAATTATACTGGAATTCTTCAGTGTTTACTGTAGAAAGAATGGAAAAGAAAAGAAACACAAGCATTCCTATTGAATTAACATAATCTATACTATAAATTTAAGACTGTTGGGCCATTGTATTTGCTTCAAGCCTTCAGCCAATGTCTTTTGAGTCATTCAACGGTTTTCCACTTGCTGTGTATCGCCAGTTCCTGCTGATGCCTAAATTTATGGAGGCAGTGAAATTTCCAATATCTGATGAACCAAAATATCTCAGCTCTGAGAACTTTAGGTTACGTCTTGAACCCTGGTTCTCTGAGGGAGACGAGTACAATATCTGCTGGCCACCATGCAACCCTTTATAATACTGTAAGTCTTTTAGGCCACTGGCCAATGCAGCCTCATGTCTGCAATCTACTGCTCAGACCTAGATCTTCATTCATAATTCAGTTTGTTCTGATTTGAACAGATGAACAATAAATTTATACTGGCGAAGTTTAGGCTCTCTAAAGAGAAGTTTTATTTTCTTATGCAGTTTTGCTTCTGAAATTTGAAGGATGTTTAGATATTTTTACTGGAAAGGAAGCCTTTTAATAAATGAGAGCTTTTATATTTCATAATATTTGATTACTTTTGTTTTATGTCTGTACTGTCAATAATTTTCTCATCCAACTTTTTTGCTGCCTCACATTAAAAAAATGTAATAAAATGATGTTAGTGTTCTCCAAATCAGAAAAACTTTTAAAAGAACAAAATCTTTAAAATGAAATTCCATGGGTCAAAGGTTTAATACCTTCAATATGCGTCTAGTTTACATTTGAATTGATTCATGGGTTGCCATATCTTGACTTGTAAAGGCACTAACACGTTTGCATAATTGATTTTCATGCATACTTTCATTTCTAATGGATGTCAATGTTGATTAATTTAATCCTGCTGCATGTAGTTGATTGGCTGTAGTGAATGTGCACTGTTTACTTAATCTTGTATTTGAGGTCTTCATGATTTAACTTCTAGTAATCCAAGAGAATTATGCATTTGTTATACTTTGTAAGAAAATAAGCACTGTATGAGATAAGCACCAAGTGATGTGGATGTTTTCACTGTATTTTTGTTAGATTTGAATTAGATGATGATGAGATGTTATTGTGGGTTAGGTGTGTGATTCATTGTGCCCTATCAGAAATAAAGAGACAAGACACCACTGGCAAGACAACACCTAGAACTGAGAACAGACTTTATGTCCACCCTATCAAATAGCTGAAATGGGCCTGCACAGGGTGTCTACACTACAGAATAGGGCTTCATGGATTGGCACGCAGATCCCATAGATCTGAGATGTCAATTGAGTGAGAATTGAGTACTGTCTCAGCCAGACAGAATTTTTTATATATATATATATATATATATATATATATATAAAATAAATAGTTTTGATCTTTGTCAGTCTATCAATTCAGAATCTTTTCTTTGGTAGTATTGTGATGATTTTTATTTTTAAACTCCAAATGCACATGTACAACTCATACTTGATACCCCATCATAAAGCTCAGTTTGTTTTACACATCGTATTTTTGATCTGTGATGAGAAAAACTTGCAGCGACATGTGGTGATGAGGATAAAATACCCCTAAAGACACAGATTAATACATTTTTTTTGAAGACTATGAAAGGAAGAGTAAAAGGTTGGGACATCTGTGGAATGTTGAGCCTGTAGAAATGACAGATGTCCTCTGTGTTTAGCCTTTTACAACAGTTTAGGCTTATTGATCTGAATATCTTTGATTTTCTGGCTTTTCATTTTTACATTTTTCTTTTTTTCAACTATTATTTATTAGGGATATGTATAAATCCCAGTTACTTGTAATATTAACATCTCTTTTAGGTTTTTATGATCCAATCACTCTAACAATGTTATGAAGTTGTCAGAAATACAAAGTTCTGTCATGAAACTCTAGATAGAGCAGGCCGATAGATTAGAACTTAATCTGATATAATCACAACATTATTCACAGGCGCAGTTTCTTTTCACATCAACAGCCAATGCGCTTGCATTCAAATACTTGGCTAGTGCTTGCTGTAGCAGTTGCAGCACTCTTCAGAAACCCTCCACCTTCCCCAGCTCCACCTGTATAGATCTGCTATGGGGTAATTTCATGCGTGTTATATATGGTTGTCATTTCATATATGTTATATGTGCTACAACAGTATTTCCTATATACTCACAGCAGCATGTCTGTGGATGTTTTAGCAGTAGCAAGTCTCGATACTTGCTCTGCCACAGCAGCAGCATAGCAGATCTATTCTGCTAAGACCAAACACATTAACATTGTTGTGTACATAACCATGCTAAAATCTCAGAGAGTTGTCATGACAGAAATATGCTAATTCAAATTCTGTGCAAAGGGAATTTTTAGAGACCTAGTGTCTCAAAGTATTTTTCCCCCACTTTTTGTCTGTTAATGTTATAATAAGCAGCAGAAATAGTTCACCCAAAAATAAAAAAGAAAAATGCTGAGAATTTACACACCCTCAGGCCATCCAAGGTATAGACGAGTTCATCAAAATAATCCAGAAGTAATCGAAATGACTCCAGTCTATCAGTCATGTTTGTAATAAATTCATCATTACTGGAGAATATTTCTTTCTCCAGTGAAAAAGTAATCTCGTCTGAATTAGGAGAGAAATATGCACAGATTAAGTGTAGTTTACAAGTGAAAACAGTCCAAAACAGTTCTAAACAAGTGGGTTTTGATGTAGGAGGACAATAGGTTTTTCCTCTAGTTTTCACTAGAGGAAGTGTTATTATGGATAGAGGACTCATATTTTGGCCTGAAGCAATTGTTTAAAGCTAAAACATCTTAATGATACATGTGATGCTTACAAACTTACAAAAATGGACTGGATTATTTAGATTTTTTCAGTTTTTCATTTTGACGTCATCCATTGATGAGCAAGTGATGTAATGTTAAATTTCTCCAAATCTGTTCTAATGAAGAAACAAACTCATCTACATATTGGATGGCCTGAAGGTGAGCAAATTTTCATTTTTGGGTGAACTATTCCTTTAATATGTGTGAATGGTATTTCATTAAACTGATCTCAGGGTAATTTTTAGTGGATATAAAAAGTCAGGTTTTCAGGTTCTCGCAGCTGTCCCCAGGTGTAGTTCATAATGTTCTACTAAGCACTGAAAACTCTAAAGTGTCCAAATAATTTAGTTTTAACATCATGAGCTCAGAGAAAGCTCATTCTTTCTCAGTTATGAGCCCAGTTCTTCCTAGCATGCCCATGAATTCTTCAGTGAATCGCTAAATTCCCTTTCACCTCGTTGGGAGAGAGTGGTGATGGCTGATAATGTTGCTGGTAAGAGCTTCAGAGCTCTGCTTTTCTCACTGGGTCACTGTGTCCCTCACAGACTGGAGGAAATTCTGAATCGAGAGCATGCTTTTCATCTCATTTTACTTGAATTGCACATTCATTTTAAGCTCTTCTGCACCCAAGAAAAAGTGTCAGATGAAATTATCATCCTTCTTTCAAATTAAAGTAAAAAGGTTTGGAACAGAGGCCATTTACTGAATTCTCTTCAGAATCTTGAAGGATTTACTGCCCATTTAAACCGATTTATATGCATTTAATGAACAATACATTCTGTATGAAATAAAAAGGCAGTTCAGTCCTCTCCAGTGAACAAATCAGTGCAGTCGAGACTGGCATAAATTAATTTGCATTCCTCCAGATGTCATGAGAATTTTATGGCAATGTTTGTCGTCACTGCATTTCGAGAGTTTTTTTTTGTTGTTGTTGAAGTTTTTGCCTTTATTGGGACAGGACAGTATAGAGAAATTAAAGCACATTTTTATTGTACAAGTAAATCTCTGGCAGCAACTGGAATGGCATTCAATATCAAGATTATGTATTTAATAATTTACTGACTGCCCTAAGTCTTCGTTGTGAACTGTACTCTTATCCTTTGAATCCAAAGCCATTTTAGGGTTACAGGAAATGTCTGTAAAGTTAACGGATAATGTCTTGGCAGAAAATTATCACTACCTTTTCCATTTTTCTACATATTTTTTTCTTACAGTGTACCTAAATGATCAACAATTATAGGTACAAGCTAATATCAAGGTGTATCATAAATGAACTATTATTATTGAACAATGGCAACTAGGCAACATGTTGATATGCTAGGCTGACTTGCTGCTTGGCGAACTAGCTGATCAATGGTTTCCTCTTTTTATGTGTTTTAGAGGGAAAATGCAAATAAATGTTAAAAATAGCTGCATTTGTTGTTTGTTGCTAGTTACTTTTTGGGGAAAAAAAGTTGCTAAGGTAGTCTGAAAAGGTGCTAAATCTAGCAACAAATGTGCGAAGTTGCCAACACTTTTAGTCCGTCTTGTAGTTTTGTATTAATGAAGTAAATTAACAACATAACATGTGGATATGATCCCAGTGCTTGTTCGTGTCTCTTTTCTTTTCCTTTTTTCTCTCACAGTATGGTCCCTCACTGAAAGTAATTAGGCAGATGTGCAAGTAAACGTTCTTTGCTTTGTTTCGCACATGTGCGCGATTATTATTAGTAACATTACTCAATGTTCTAATGTTTTATGGCCTTATTTGCCTTCAAAAATCTAAAAGATGACTGTATTTCAATCATTAAGAGCCTGATGAAAGGAAAACTTTGTCTGTGTGAGACTAAATAATAGACTAAGTCCACCCACTGTCACAACATAAATGAGGCTAATAAAAATGAGGTATTAATTGACATCAAATGTATTTGTTAATTAAAAACAATGGTTATTTAGCAGCTGGCTTTGGCTAAAATGTTCACAAAGCAACTTTTTAGGTTTTAAAGCTGAATATCTAGCCATTTCTGGTGTCAGATGTCCAAAAGAGCATGCAAACCACAACAGATTAATAGAATCCATTTATATTATCAGCACTTATTTGTTTCGACTTTCTTTTTGAACAGGTTTCTTCAGAGCAACATAATTCAGATGGTCTCAAGCCGTGCCTTCGGCGGACTATTCAGTCTAGAAAAACTGTGAGTTCTTTTTTCTTATCTTTCACTTCGGATCACCTTTTTAAAAAGATTCAAAATATTCTTTCTGTTCTGGTGTTACTGATAGTCAATGCCATTTCTTGAACTTCATGAGAAGCCAGTGAGAGAGGTGTTCAGACGTCTCCAGCCAAACTGGAGATGAGAAATGAAGGTCCCAGATTGAATATTGAACAATGTGCCGCCCAAGATTGTGGCATGTGTTCAATGCTTCTTCTGCTATTGCTTTAGGTGTGGAGCACAATGGCATCTTTGGGCTGTAGATCGTTCTGCTCATGGGGCCGAGTAGGCACAGACTATTGTTTAGTCAATTGTCCCAGAAGTGAGGAAGGACAAGCTTTATCCTGAGAAGATGATGATGTATATCATTAGGGAAAGTCAGCTCTAGATGATTAATGACTTCTTACACAGTTTTGCAGGAATTACAAACTTACCTTTTCCTTTCTATTCCAATCAGTTTTTAGTTCATTCAAAAGCATCTCAGAAGAAGCACGACATGAGTCAGCAATGAGTTGCTATGCTCGTATTCATTTGGATTCCTAATAGGGCAATTTATTCTTTTTATGTCTGTAAATCAATACTTTGGACAATTTAATGCTTAACCTTGACAGGGGACGTAGCTTTTTTTTTTTCCTGTGTTTATAATTAAACATTGTCTTTTGTGCAGGTTTCTCAGCCAAAACCACATAACATATTTAGGACCTGGTGTATTCCGAGATCTACACAAGTTAGACTGGCTGTGAGTATGCATTGCAACACTTTAATGAATTAGAAAAAGTGTTTGTTTTGTTTACTAAATAATTTTTAAAAGTTTTTTCTTGAACTTCATCCTATAGTTTGGCGTTACACAATATCTCATCTCATATTTAGTAATATTTGTTTGTTTGTTGTCTCCCTTGTTAAATAGATGCTTAATTAAGTTTGGCATAATCACACAGAAAAGATGTGGTCTGTGGAATAGCTCTGAGTTAGTAGAATTTGGCTCTGGAAAGTGCTGAAAATAGAATGTGGTTTTGCAGAAAGAAGCTGAAAATTACTTGGGTGGCTTTTCGGTTGCCAAACCCAGACGCAGGTTGGGCAGATTTATGTAGTACTTGAACAAGCACAGTCACTGACAGAAGATTTGCTAACAAGATATTTCTTGTTTTTGTGCAAAAAAAAAAACATTTTATAAAAGACATTTCAGTTATTGTATAATTTTTTTTCCCCTCAGAGTGTTAGACCACAACCCACTTAAAACCATTACCTGCGATACGTTCATCGGTCTGAGGTCACTGACATTTCTGTAAGTATCTTGGTGTTTTCAAATATTTCATGGTGATTCTTCACTGTGGCATTTTGTTTAATAAGTTGTCCTTACAGTTATCTCTTTGATGAAAATGCCAAGCTTTGTTTTATTGTATATTTAATCAAGCTTGTCCCTGTTTCTGATCCAATTGTCTGACAAGAAATTTAAAACTATTTCTAGGATGTTGTTTCATGAGTTTAAAGTTAATTTGACTACTTTTCCCCTGTGTTTTCCTGTTACTATGCACTAAATCAAGGCAATGGCACAATTCCCACAATGATTTGAGATGTTGAAGACATATCTGAGTTTAGCAGTACTTTTGCGTTCACTTGTTGGTTACAAGTATCATCAAGAGAATGTCAACAGAAAGGCACCTCATCGTTCAAGTAACAACAAAAGTAATCTAGGGTTCACTAACCCTGAAACTCAGCTAATTTTTTTTCTGCAACAAGACTCAGCAAACCATCTCTGAGACAACTTTTTGATCTTTTCACCGTAACACAGAACTGTCTGTACCCACAAGAAAGCTAACAGACATTTTACACTTTTAGATTTCAAAATGTGGGTTGCCTGAAGGCCATTGTGCAGCCATTTGTACAAGTAGTAAGAAATTCATTATCATAGTCCCTCATCAGAATGTCTTTAATATCCCTGGAAATGTCCTCTGGCTTCTAGTTTCACTGCTGAGACAGAAATGACTAGAGTACAAAAGCGATATTTATTTGCATCACAACTGTTTTTTGTTCATTTTTTTCCTCTTCTCACTCATTTTCATTTTCATTTATATTTTATTATTTTTCTCTTTTCCTCTTCCTTCTATTATTTTCTTATCAATGTTCTCTTCTGATTACTGTCTTCTTTTATGAAATATTTTATTTTGTCCTTGTTAGACTCTGTCAGAACCTGTTTTCTATGGGGCTATAGTCTTTTTTCTAAAGACAACAACTAAAATCCAGTGACTTTATTGCATGTTTGTTTTTTCATCAAAATTGTTTTACATTTTACAAACATTTTGATGAACATAAAATTAATATTGTTCATAGAATATAGATGGATTTTTGTATTTTATTACTTATTTAATAAAAAAAAAAGATTTTAATAACATAATATCGTGATAAATTTACATAATATTCTCTAGGTTGTGCATCAACCCTCTTACAATCATATTTTTTTCCTTTTAAAGTAATGAACTACTCTATAAATAAAAAAAATCCCTAATTTTATCTTATGTTTCGTAACCATTTTCAGTAGATTTACTAGAAATATTAGCATTAGCAAATTAAATGAATTCTAAGTTTATTATATCTGTTCGCTTATTTATTTTATTTTATTTTTTTATTAATATATTTTTATTGTAATTATTTATTTTTAGCTTCTCAAACTGGAAAAGGCACTTAGACCCACTGGTTTTCAGGCTGATCGTGTGTTTTTCGTTGGGTGGTAACTGAAATATTAAGATTATTTCAAGTAAATCTGAAACATTTACACAGTATTTTTCCCACACAGTATTTCTAAGCAAAAATCTGCAGCATGCAAATTGCACAGACCTTGTGGCCCATGTTTGCGCTGTTACATGATTTGCATAATTCATTTAGTGAACCAGAATCTTTACAAACTGACACTGTGTGCAAATAAACTGTGCATTCTTAGTCAATTATAATCAGAGGCGAATTTACACATTAGGCAAAGGTAGGCAGCCGCCTTGGGCCCCCAAAAGCCAAGGGCCCCCTAAAATGCTTTTCATCAACGAGATGCACATTAAGCATGGACAAGCGAACAGCTGCTTTTTATGGTGTTTATCACCATGACAACCATCTGCGAGTCTGAGTTGAACACACTTCTTGTGTATCCTGCTTGTAGCAAATGAAAACATCATGCATCTGAAGCTGTAATTAAATATTGAGCAACAGTGCGTATTATATGTTTTAAATGCTGCTACTTATCCAAGTAGAGGACGCATACGCAGTTTGTTTGGTTGATATAATCCTTAGGTGTGTAAATGTATAATTTCCTTTTCATTATTTTTTTCATTTTCAATTTAATGTGTAGTTAAAATAACTAAAATAAGTGTATTGTAAAGCTTAGAATTAGACAGCCTTTGGCACACAGGCTTACGCTGGTAACTCATCACAGTCACCAGTGGACTTTCCTCCTCAATATAGGCTATATTTTTTCACACTTTTCTCATTCTCACTAATTCAAGTTTTTATATGAATGAATGAAGGGAGCCGACTGTCTTCAGAAAACTTTCCATGGCATTTTCATTTTATCTGATAAAGTAGCATTTATGAGCACAGCGCTGCTTTGTTTACTGTAGTTACTGAGGAAACCGCTGTATTTCTGATGTTCCAAAAGCGCTTCCTGCTGGTAATAATCTCGTCTGCAGTTTTTGTTCAGACCAATGCGAAAATCCACCCACATAACCCCATTTTAAATTAATATCATAGTTTATACTTCCGACTCATCTCTTTTCTTAAAAAAATAGTTTAAAGGCTCAGTTGTGAGGTTTATCATTTTATAATTGATTTTGTTTTTGTGAAAACTGTAAATCAATTGTTATTTTGTGGTCTACAACTTGAAAGAAAGCCATTATAACATGGACACAACTGTGTGGCACCATTATGCAGCAGTAAGCATGACAACAAAAAAAGGAACCTCAAGGCTAAATACATAGGGCTCCATTCATATATTTTGCCTGGGGCCCCCAAATGACTAAATCCGCCCCTGATTATAATCATAATTATAATTTTTTGCTTGTCCATCACAGCTTTATGAATGAACATATGGCACAATTTCATATTATTTGCCACTTTCGGCTGGCTAAGTATAATTGAATCACTGAATCATGTTTCATGAATGTTTCATTTACGTTCCTCCACTTTAATAAAAATCAGGGTTCTCTCAGGGTCGGCCAACTAATAACAGAAAAAACCTAAGAGATATTAAGCATCACTGCACAGAACAGTCCCTCATGAGATTACTTTTCATGAGTGAAGGTAAGTATCTAAAGTCATTCCAGAAGTGATTATACACTTGCCTGGAATGTTTTCTCCTGTTCATTTCGCTTTGTGATACCCGTAATTGCTGAAATAACAGTAGTATGTCTTCTGAACAGTTTCCAGAAGCCTGGTTCTGTTTGCAATTTAGCCATTGCATGTAAAAGCTTAGCTTGCGGGAGTCTGTATTTACAGAAAATTATTCTTTGAGCCCAATGATGCATCCATTTTGGTGTGACTCTGTACTGGACTGAACTGCTAAATAGACAGCATTGTGAAACACACAAAAGTAAATATGGGAACTGAACAAAAAAAAAATCTGTGATTTATTATGAAATAAATACAACCTTGTAAATTAGCTGTACAATTGTCCACTGAATAATAAGCACTCTATTAATCTTTCATTTATGAGAACAGATCAAATTGTTCTCTAAATTTGCATAATAAGCTAAATTATGTATTGTTTGCGTCTAAGGGTAATGTCTAATTTCCTGGTGTTTTTGACTAAATGAGTGACCTACTTTCAGAGGAGATGTTTTTAAATTAATATGTTAGTTCATTAGTTAGTTGATAATAATTAAGGATTCACTTGACAAGAACTAATTTAAAACACAATTTCCAGATAATTATGCTTGTGAAACAGAGGACACCTAATCGCACACAGCTAGTCTGGCAGAAAGCCTTGATTGTTTTTCCTCTGAAACTGATTCAGTCATATCTAAAAGTGCTGCAGGGGGTTTGCTGAATTTCTACAGTAAAGACCTTCAAGGCTCTTGCAGTGACAGTCTGCACATCGAGGCTGTATTGCCATTTTAGGTGGTTAATTTGAATCTTTATTCATTTTCAGATCCATGGTTAACACGTCCCTGTTAACCATGGATCTGAAAATAAATAAAGATTCAAATGAACCACCTAAAATTAATCTTTATTCATTTTCAGATCCATGGTTAACACGTCCCTGTTGTGGCTCCCTGACTCGAGTCTCTGTCAGCACATGCCCTTGCTCAGGTGGTTGTGAGTATTTCCTGTTACTGGCCCTTTTTTCAACTCTTACAAAGTAGAGGATCATCCGGACATTTTGTAATGCACAACAGTATATATATACACACAGCATTTTATTTTATTTTATTTTATATATTTATATTTAAAAAAAAATATGGGAAACAATTAAGTAAAAAAATATGTATTGTATGTATTTTGAGGATTTATATGTTATTTGAGATACACACTAAAATATAAAGAATTACGTTGAATTATGAGTAAGGCTCAAAGATGGTTTGGATATAACATCACGGTTAGATTGGTTAAAATGTCTTTTAGAACCATCCACTGTGGTGGACACAATGCATTATAGGGTGAATTTATTTGCTGGCACACATGCAACATGTTAAAGGCTCATTAGAGGAAATAAAAAGAGTTCTCCTGTGTTTATAATTGTTTAGGGCATCATGCGACTCACAGTAATCCTCCTGGCTGTACTTAAATCGTTCTAATTCACTGAATTTTCCTGACGCAACTAGTTAAACTACCAGTGTTTGTGTATGATACTGTAATAATGTTAAAGCCTTCTTAGCTTGACCATTTATTTCTGTGCACATGTGCATGTGCATCTTGTTTAGAGACAGTAAGAAATACAGCATTTATTTTTGATCTGAGTGGCCCCAACATATCAAGCTGATTTATCTGGAAAGTTTTGGTACTCTGGGAAGTTTTTTTTTTGTTACTTTTAGCTGTAAGCGTGTATATCTCTGTATGTGTGTGTTTATACCTGCATGTCTATTAGTATATTAGTCATCTGGCTCTTTGGTTTATTTGAATAGGTCATTCTAAGGTTAATGAACAGAAAGAGTCTGTAACACTTAGCCGATGGTCTCTGAACTGAACAAATGATACCGCATCATAGCGTTTTTGCTATGAGGTAGGTTTGAATTTAGCAAATCTCACTCGGTATGAATCATATCATCTCTCAGCGAAATTCCACAGCTGTCCAAGTAAAACCACTTAATATAGCTTACGTTGTTGTCAGCAGTTGCTTTGCTCAGATAAACCTATGCCTAGAAGACCACACTCACTCAAAAACTTCAAAGATGTTTTTGTTCAAATTTTATGGTCAACAATTACCTTAAAACCTGATTATTCCTAGACAGGACACCCACAGACCGACCCACAATTTACTGACCATCTGATGGGTATTGCACACAAAACTGGAAAGCATTTTCTCTATCTGGCAAGCTTTAATCAGATTGGCGGATTTTAAGCAGCTTCCTGGAGTAAGGGCACACCGGGTTTATTATCAGTCTACTTGGAAACAAAGTCATGTTTACGAGGTACCGGTTGATCCAACGAGTGCTTTTGTGGATGAAATAATCTCTAGATCTGCCAGTTTTTCAGGTTAGTAAGAACAAAACAAACTGTGATTTCAGAATCAGAATCAGAAAGAGCTTTATTGCGAAGTATGCTTGCGCATACAAGGAATTTGTTTTAGTGACATAAGCTTCCAGTACACAGAGACAACAACAACAACACACATAATAAAAAATAAGATGAGAATAAAAAAAACTCCACATTTGTAAATATAAATAGACAAATATTGAAAAATAAATTGAAAAATAAAATTGTATGTACAGTTGTGCTATAGATGATAGAATGGAATAGAATAGAATGAGATGCAGGGATGTACTAGGATGGAGGTGGTAACAAATAAATATAAGGTTATTGCACATTTTTATTGCATAATGTGGGGAACATTTAACTGTTCATGAGGTAGATTGCCTGGGGGAAGAAACTGTTCTTGTGCCTGGCTGTCCTGGTATTTGCGGCTCTGAAGTGCCGGCCAGATGGTAAAAGTTCAAAAAGGGGATAACTTTGATGTGAGGGACCCAGAGTGATTTTCTGAGCTCTTTTCCTCACTCTGGATGTATACAGTTCTTGAAGCGTGGGCAGGGGAGCACCAATAATCCTTTCAGCAGTCTGAACCATACTCTGTAGTCTTCTGATGTCTGATTTTGTAGCTGAACCAAACCAGACAGTTACTGAAGTGCACAGGACAGACTCAAAAATGGCTGAGTAGAACTGTTTCAGCAGCTCCTGTGGCAGGTTAAACTTCCTCAGCTGGCAAAGGAAGTACAACCTTTGTTGGGCCTTTTTAACAATGACAAAGTCGATGTGAGTATCCCACTTCAGGTCCTGAGAGATGGTGGTTCCCAGGAATCTGAATGACTCCACTGCAGCCACAGTGCTGTCTATGATGGTGAGTGGGGAGAGTGCAGGGGGTTTCTCCTGAAGTCCACTATCATCTCCACTGTTTTGAGCGTGTTCAGCTCCAGATTGTTAAGACTGCACCAGACAGCCAGCTGCTCAAACTCTTGTCTGTAAGCAGACTCGTCACCATCCTGGATGAGACCGATGACTGTAGTGTCATCTGCGAACTTCAGGAGCTTGACAGAGGGGTCTTTAGAGGTGCAGTCGTAGGTGTACAGGGAGAAGAGCAGTGGGGAGAGAACACATCCCTGAGGGGGGAACCAGTGTTGGTGGAGCGGCTGTTTGACATGAATTTCCCCAGTCTCACTAACTGTTGCCTATCTGTCAGAAAGCTGACAGATAGAGCTAGGGACAGAGAGCTGGGTTAGTTTGATCTGGAGGGCTGTTGGAATGATGGTGTTGAACACCGAACTAAAGTCCACAAACAGGATCCTCACATAAGTCCCTGTTTTGTCCAGATGTTGCAGGATGAAGTGCAGTCCCATGTTGCCTGCATCATCCACGGACCTGTTTGCTCGGTAAGCAAACTGCAGGGGGTCCAGTAAGGGTCCAGTGATGTCCTTCAGATAAGCCAGAACCAGTTTTTCGAACGACTTTATGACGACGGACGTTAGAGCCACAGGTCTGTAGTCGTTAAGTCCTGTTATCTTGGGTTTCTTTGGAACGGGGATGATAGTGGAGCGTTTGAAGCAGGAAGGGACTTCACACAACTCCAGAGATCTGTTGAAGATCTATGAAAAGATGGGGGCCAGCTGGTCAGCACAGGTTTTCAGACAGGCTGGTGTCACACCATCTGGGCCTGGTGCCTTTCTTTTTTTGTTCTTCCTGAAGACCTGGCGCACATCATCCTCTGATCTGCAGTGCAGGAGGGGGGGAGAGGGGGATTGCAGGAGGTGTTAACGGTTGTGTAGAGAGATGGTCAGAACGGGTGTGGGAGGTTTTGAATTTACAATAAAATAAATTCAGGTCTTCAGCAGGTTGTTGATTCGCCTCAGTGTTGGGGGATGGTGTCTTGTAGTTTGTGATGGCTTTCAGACCTTTCCACACTGAAGCTGAGTCATTGGAAGTGAACTGATCTTCCAACTTTTTAGCGTAGCTCCTTTTAGCCACTCTCTCCTTATTAATTGTGTTCCTGGCCTGATTGTACAAGACTCTGTCCCCATTTATGTAGGCATCCTCTTTGGCCTGACGAAGATGTCTGAGTTTTGCTGTAAACCATGGCTTATTGTTGAATGTTAAATAAGTCCTGGTAGGAATGCACATATCCTCACAGAAACTAATATAGGATGTTACAGTCTCTGTGAGTTCGTCCAGATCGGTGGTAGCAGCTTCAAAAACAGTCCAATCAGTGGAGTCGAAACAGGCTTGTAAAACCCACTCTGTTTCATTGGTCCATCTCTTTACAGTCTTTACTACAGGTTTAGCAGATTTAAGTTTTTGCCTGTAGGTTGGTATAAGATGAACCAGGCAGTGATCAGAGAGCCCCATAGCTGCCCGTGGGACAGAGTGATATGCATCCTTTATTGCTGTGTAACAGTGATCCAGTATATTGCTGTCTCTGGTGGGACATGTAACATGCTGTCTGTATTTTGGCAGTTCATAGGAAAGATTTGCTTTATTAAAGTCCCAGAGAATGATTAAAATAGAGTCTGAGTGTTGTTGCTCTGTCTCTGTGATCTGATCAGCGAGTTTTTACAAAGCCAGGCTCACGTGCACTTGCGGAGGAATGTAAACACTCACGAGAATGAACGAGTGAAACTCCTGCGGCGAGTAGAACGGTTTACAGTTAATGAAGATTTCTTTTGTAGCATATCAGTCAGATATTCTCTTTCTGTCTAAATGGGCGTTTATAGGCCAGATTAAGCTGCTTGAGCTGTTTATTCAAAGGTCTGACTACAACTCCATTGACTGTGTCACACATTTTGAGTTAACAATGAAAACTCCTCTCAAAGCGTCCGTATCTTTGCCAGATGTGTGTTTGTTTTCAAGCGTCTCTCCCTTCATGATGAGCACCTAGGACTCATTTTCAGCTTTTCTGTGAACAATGCACTCTGGTAATTATAGTCAGAGCAGATAGAGACTGACAGTAGCCATCAGCAGGATCACTGTGATTTTTGACGTTACATATGCAAGCAGCTCACTCGTGCTGCGATACTCTCGCCGCTGAATGACAATTTGCCATCTGCTAGTCCAGCCTGACACTTTGAAGAGAAAGACTATCAGAGGTACTATCAAAGTCAGGCACATTCTCTCGACGAAGTGCTTGCTGAATGAAAAATTTCAGCATGGGGCTTCATGAGGCACTCTGATTATTCATGTCAAGGATGAATAATGGCTCTTGATTAGATTTTTTGTTGTTGTTGCAGGAGGAGCAATGGGATGAGTTTTCCCACTCATCAGTGCAAATGTTGTCTTCCTCTCATGTCCTCTAAGTCAGGATTTATAATTGTTTTTTTTAAATGTACAGCTCTTCTTCTTTCTTTGCTTTTCCTTGGCTTGTCTTTCTTCACAGGGACTTCGCTGAGAACCACGTTGGGTTGCTGAATTATTCCACTCTGAAGACATGCACCGAGCTCACAGTGCTGTAAGTGTTTTTACGTGCATTTACCCTCAGCCACAATCCACTGTAAAGTCTGATTAGTTGGTTTCATTGTGTTTTTTTATATGATGGCTGCACATGTTGATGCCAGCATCACAATTTATGGCAACGTGGCAGCGAGTTTGATTTAATGGTCAGTTTAATTGAATGTGGTACAGATGTTGTTTTTAGTTTACGATGTCGGTTTTGGATCTCAGACATGTTTTTTTTTTAAATCCTCAGTTTATTATCTCTAAAAGGAAATTCTTGTTCTTGCTTAGTCATCAGGATGTGAGTGTCTGTCTGCACGTGTTTCTTACAAGTGAACACAGTTTGATGCCCTTGTGGAAAATGAAGTCCAGCATGTGTTGAAATCTTCTTAATTTTACTGTAACTTTAAAATATAGGACATGCCACCATCGTTGTGTATATCACAAAGTCTTTTGATGTTAGGTGTTTCAAATAATTATATGTCATATACTGTTGGGTATAAAAGTCTGAGACCACTAGTAAAAATGTTTCTATTTTGCACTTTTTTAAAATTACATCTAATTTTATTTTATTACACAATTTTTATTAAAATTACATTGTCAGATTAACAACGTAACTAAAAATGTTAAATAAAAACACAATTATTTGATAAAAAAAAACATTTTAATTGTTTTTAACCATGTAAATGACTGGCATTTTGCTGTATATCAGAGCAAACTCACATCTTCTCAATTCTACCACAGATCGAGAGCAAGCTTTGCTCAAATGTGTTGACATTTGTGTTTTTGGACTGGGTCAAGATTGAGCATTTTTGTGAAGAATAAAATGATTCGCGGGACTCCCGCAAAATAGAAATATCTAAACATAAAATATCTAAAAACAAATAAATTGTTTTTCATCTATTGCACAAAAGCAACCAGATAAAATGACATAAAAATGATTAACAGGCGCAAGCATAGGCAGAGTTTCTATTTATAACACGTGTTTGCAGCATTGAGCAATGTAACAAATCACAGACATACAGTGGGTACGGAAAGTATTCAGACCCCCTTAAATTTTCACTCTTTGTTATATTGCAGCCATTTGCTAAAATCATTTAAGTAAATTTTTTCCCTCATTAATGTAAACACAGCACCCCATATTGACAGAAAAACCTATTGATTTCTGGATCGCAATGGCCAATCAGAGGCGTTTAAGTTAGAATCCACTCACCGCTCAAATGGAGTTCTTGCGCAGTGCTGAAATTGGCATGCTCACGAATCCCCTCATTATAACACACAAAGTGTAGACATTATGAAAGATTCATTGTGCATATATTCATAGTGTTACAGCTTTGTGAGATCGCGATGAACTGAGATGTCAGCTTTTTAGTGATTATAAAGGGAGCGCTCTTTGCTTGAATTCTGCCATTCCAAACCATGCACGCAGACGCTCATGCTTGCTATTAAAAATAACAGTGATTTGTGAATGTTGATGCTTAAATAACAAATATTTTATCAGTGTTAATACTCTCATAGTGCATTATTAATATGTGCCATTCTCTTTTGGAAATGTCAGACATATCTTAAATGAGACTTTCAGAGAGAGATAGGTATCCCTGCAAATACGGTCAGCTTGCGCTTGCTGGAAGAATAAGCTGGAAAATGCAGCAGAAAGCAGTACGATTTTGTTATCGTCTGGCTGTTTCACAGCCCAGTGGCTGTTCTTTGAGGCTTTCCACACAAGTGAAAATGTGGTGGTTTAGTCTAATTGGAAAGTAACATTAAGTTTGTTCTCTCAATTTTTATGTCCAGATCACTGCATGACAATAAAATCAAGATCCTTCTAGAAAACACGTTTCATTCTCTTGGATCTTTGGTTGAACTGTGAGTACCGCAGCACATAATCTGGAAAGGATGTGAAATCTTGTGATTTGAGAGTAATAACTTTGTTTAAACTTTCTGCACAGACATAATTGAGATGGCTTTATATGCACATGGATTATGCTTTTTAACAGATGTATTTGTTTCTCCTTCTTGTTTTTTGTTTTTTTTAGAGATTTGTCTTGCAACAGAATTTCCAATCTTCCTAAAAACACTTTCAGGAGTTTACAATATCTGCAGAAACTGTGAGTCATGCACATATCAGTCATGTAGTTCAAAAGTGTTGAACTGATCAATGCACACAATGCAATAAACACCACCACAATACAATGAAATAATGTTCTTTTAAGGGAAATTTCACCCAAGATGGAAAAAATTCTGTCACTCACTCACCCTCATGTCCTTCCAAGCCTGTGTGCTGTTAGTTCTTCCATGGAACAAACAACTCTTCATTTGGAAGCTGTCAACTCCCAAAAATGACAAATGACTAAAAAAAAAGCAATAAAAGTAGTTTAGCTGTATTTAGAGCTGTCGAAGCCATATGATAACTTTTTGAGTGTTTCATGTCCTTTTTGGAACTTGACAGCTCCTGGTAACCATCAACTGTCAATGGATAGCAAGAGCTACAAAGTGGTTCTTTAAAAAAATCTGTTTAAAGAAAAACGGATTTGGAATGTGATCAGTAAATAATCAGAATTACCATTTTTTGCTGACATACTCCATTTAATATTTGCAGGAATATATCCCATAATCCTTCACTCCATATTCATGCCAGTCACTTCGATCACCTGGTCCAACTTGAGTCTCTGTAAGTATCAACAGCGCATGTTCTGCCTTTCAAAAGAATGCCTTTTAAAATTAGTAGGTGTCACTTGAAATACAACACCCATTTGTATTTAACAGAAGTCTGGAGGGCATTGAAATTCCTGATATAACCACCAAGATGTTTCTTCCGATGGGAAACCTGTCCCACATGTACGTACCTCTCATTGTGTGGTCTGTGCATTAATCTGCATAAGCAGGATGTTCAGCTTGTAATCTGTTATGTGTGCATATCTGTCTTTTCTAGATATTTTAAGGATTTTCAGTACTGTTCCTATGCCCCACATGTTCGGAAATGTAAACCTAATACGGATGGCATTTCATCAGTGGAAGACCTGCTAGCCAGCCTGGTTCTGCGGGTGTCCGTCTGGGTTATGGCCTTCATCACCTGCTTTGGGAATCTCTTTGTTATCGGAATGCGCTCCTTCATTAGAGCAGAGAACAACCTGCATGCAGCCTGCATCAAAGTCTTGTGTTGTGAGTACAGCTGAAATTATTATTAATATTTGATTAATATATACATTGTGCAAAAATGGTTTTAATAAAAATAATAATAATAATAATACAGCGACTTCAGATGATGCCAACCCTGGACTGACATACAAAACTGCCAAATACTATTCTTATATTGTATCATTATGATCACAATCTGTAATCATCGTCTAACATATTATGTGTACTTAACTAAATACATTATGCTAACTAGCCATATAACCTTATCTCATAGGTATATGCTACTGCCATACAGATATTACATTGACAAATTGATTACTTCCTGATTGTACCATTGAAAACATACACTTTTTGTGAAGCTACTCTAAAACAAAATGTATTGTGAAAAGCCCTGTGCAAATAAAATTGAATTGTATTAATAATAATAAACAATTGACTTCATTGTTGACTAGTCTGGTCTTTATACAGAACACTTCATATATTTATTACAAATTATAATTATTATTAGGGGTTCAAGCGCGTAGTGCTGAAACCCTATTGTAATTGTTATTCTTCTTATTATATTAATAATAAAAATAAAAATTAATAAAATATGATTTAGTTATAACTATATTTAGCTGTCTAAAATATACATTATATTATGTAGCTATATTAGTTGTTGTTGTTGTTATTATTATTATTATTATTATCCGTTACTTGTTGCAACCTACACAAAATACACACACTCACACTATCATCTGTCTGTAACAGTCTCATAAAAGTCCACAGACACGTTTGGCTAGACATTTTATGAGAACGAGAGAGAGAGCGAGGGAGGATTTTCTTGGAAAGAACCTATGCCCAGTTATGCAGCCTTCATGAAGGGGGTATTAGTGTAAAAACCCATGGGTAACAATAGGTAAGGGGAATTGATCTGAATAATGGAAGCTGACAGTGAAGCCTGTTATGATTTGGTTTGCTTTTGTGTCTGTGTGTGTGTGTTTGATTGTTCATTCCTGAGCATTTTTTGCATTCATCTATAATCTTATTCAGAAAGTGACCGTTCATTGGTCTTCATAAGCTTGCTTGTTTGAATGTTATGTGCAATTTTGAACTAATTTAAAGGGTAAAGTTACAGACTTCCACAGTCCGATCACTTCCTGATGTACCGAAAAATAAACACATCTACTAATACTTAAGTAAATCTATGACAGGTGTAGTCATCAGGACGAGAACACGGATAGCCGCTTGATGGGTTATTTTTTTCAGTACTGCAGTTTTACCACCCAAAATCTAATAGGGAAAGGCAACATTATTTTACAGAATGTTTTTGCGATTGTGATTTCAAGCTTGTCTCTTCTTTAGACAAATCATCTAAAAAAAAGATAAATTATATGTGTGTATGTGTGTGTATAATTTGTATAATGCTAATAATTAATCATTTTACTTTTTTAAATCAAGGTCAAATCTCTTTTAAATCTCTGTCTGTGCTGGTTCTGTTAATCTCAGCTACATCAGTGCAGAGTACTGCAGTTTTACCACCCAAAATCTAATAGGGAAAGGCAACATTATTTTACAGAATGTATTTGCGATTGTGATTTCAAGCTTGTCTCTTCTTTAGACAAATTATCTTTTGCTAAAAAAAAGATAAATTATATGTGTGTATGTGTGTGTATAATTTGTATAATGCTAATAATTAATCATTTTACTTTTTTAAATCAAGGTCAAATCTCTTTTAAATCTCTGTCTGTGCTGGTTCTGTTAATCTCAGCTACATCAGTGCAGGAACAGGAGCTTGGCCTTTATCCTCACCTGTTCGCTGGCTTTAATAGTGTCCCTCTACTCACCTTTGCCATGCTGTCAGATTAAAAAATCGCCTATTACCACAGATGGCGGTACCATTATTCACATTAAACACGTTCCCTTTTCTCATAAGCTTTTGTGATGGCTGCAGTTTTCCTCAATTTATTGTTTGACTTGTGGGAGAACCAGCAAATGAGCAGCTGTGAAATATTTCACACCTCCACAGGAAAGAGAGGCCTAAAATAAACAGGCAAGCAACTTCATGCCACTTCTGGTCACACCATGTCTTTGTTTTTATATTGGTTTTTATATATTTTTTTTGCGCTGTTAAGATTAACATCCATTACAGTAATCGCTGCAGCAGGGGCTAGTCACCGTTGTTTTAAATCAATTCTGTGACTAGAGTGACATAATGATACCAGAAATAAACCCGAAAAATGAAAATAAAACCCCAAAATTTCAGTAGAGACATTGACTTTCGTGTTAAACAACATGGTTAAAACAGGCATTTTGCTCACAGTTTTATTAGTATTTCATTAAGTTGACACTTATTTTGACTTATCTGTTATGGTGAAAAACGTCACGTTTTTTACAGAAAATATTGTTCATGAATACTGACAGTAAATAATGTATGGCTAGCTAAGGCTGGAATTATTTATCTGGGCATATTTGCACAGATCTTCAGCCCCATAGCATTTTGAATGCAAGGCAGTTCGCGCAAAATTTATTTTGAAAGAGAAATATGTTAATAATAAGGCACACAAAAACTAATTTCAGTTACATATTCCAATAAAAGTTTTAAATGATACATTTAGTAAGGACAAATAATTGTTGGTATTTTGTAGGCACATATTTAAGACATGGTTTCGGTCCAGGTATTTTATTTTTTAGAAATAAAAAATAAATACAATTTAAATAAAAGCTTAACAGTAACCTTTTCAAATTAAATAAAAAAAATGTAGATTATACTTTTTCTTATTTTGTGCACAAATGGCACTTTTTCTTGAAAATGACCCCGCTACCTGTGGCCAAGTGTGTCACAGAATTTGCCGATTCTTTTTTGTTGACATTTGCTCTATGTTTATCTGTGCAGGAACAATAAACTCCTGGGTGGTGATCTTCATTCTTCCTATCAACAGCGCCCTTAACCCCATTCTCTACACCCTGACCACCAGCTTCTTCAGAGAGCAGGTGGAGCTCCTCCTGTGCCGCTGGCAGCGGCGCTCGGCATCAAAGAAAAACCGTAAGAGTCTCACCAGCTCCACCATCTACATGGAGACCCCTCGAAATGCAGAATACCCCGCAAAAATTTCCTTGCCACGACTGTCTTTGGTAGACATGGATAACCAATATGGGTGAAAGAGCCAGTGAGTGAAAGGTATCATAGTTAGGCCTATCATAATCATTATCTGGAGATAAGACTGGAGAATAACAGTCTTTCCTGGAACAATTTATGTGAAAGGATGGTACTGATTCTTGCTGTTTGGGTTCCAATATGGAGTGCTCTTTTTAGACAAGTGACTCTAGCTTCACTGTTTCCTCCATTAAGAGAAGCACTTTTCATCACTTTAGCTAGATAAGAGCCTCGGACCCCTCCAGTGTCCATTTCCCCCCTAAACACCATGTCTGGCTTACAGCCCCTGAGCTGGGCTTGTTGTGTGTCTCAAAAGCTTTTAAAGAAGAAAAGCAATGACTACAAAGCGCAGTAGAAGACTGTCAGTATTTACTGCAGAGCACATATTAGAGGGATCAAAGGAACTTTACAGCACATGAATGACAATTTTTTTTTTATGGAAATGCTTAGAAATGTGGTTTTGAGATTTAATTTTAGAAGTTATTTATAATGTACAGCAAAGGGTTTTTTAATGCTTGCTCTGCCATTTCACAGAAAAGACACATTAAAGAGAATGCCTCAGAGTTGTCTTGGTCAACAAAGTAAATGGTTCCTAACTGAACAGAAGCATGCAATCAAGATAAAGAGGTGCATATCATTCAGCCATGTAAGATAATACAGATACATTGTTTGTTTGTTTTCTTTGTCATTTTTTACAACAATGCTAAAGCATTTTATTTTTTATACTCGTGTTGACTATTTATAAGTTGGCTTTTTTTCTACCCATCTCAAGATATGTGAATAAATATTCAAAGTCAGATGTAAATATGTTAATAGTTTGAATGCTTATGGAATTTGTCAAACAATATAAAATTGACAATCTGAAGATGTCCATCTACAGTGACACTAGCAAGCCAAGGATTTCCTTGTACTTCAATCACTGTATGACACAGAGTTTTTCTTTACTCTTAGTAAGCTTGTTGACTGTTTATAATTTATCATAAAAGACAATACACACCATGGATGAGTGATCTTGCTCACATTTTTGTGTTTGTGCAATTGTACATAACATATATCACACACAACACAGGTTACACTACTGGTCAAAAGTTGTTAAAAATGTTTTTGAAAGACGTCTCTAATGCTCCTCAAGACTTATTACAATTTGCACATGACATTGTAAAAGGGCTGAAACGATTCCTCGAATACCTTGAGTAACTCGAATACAAAAAAATAATTGAGGCAAATTATTTGCCTCGAGGCTTCGTTTAGTCCATTTACTGTAACTACACACGTAACACAGTGTTTCCCCACGGACTATTATTACTGACGCACAAACCAATAAACGCTGGACCAGACCATAGATAGACTGTATAAAAACATAGATAGACTTTAAAAAAAAGAAAAGTGCTGGACATATTTAAGACCGTAAATCAATATGGTGGCTAGTTATAATGTCCCTACGTTAGCTATATTTTGTGAAAGACTAAACGCCATTGAGCATAAAAATACCACAGAAAGAAAGTTAGTCAATATCACACGAAGAGTGCCAGTTTTCACCTCTAAAATCAGCATGATTACAAATGTGATTTTATTCAACAGTTCAATAAACAAGGAGGTAATATTATGAGACTTACATTTTAGACACTATATTGCCTGTTTTTGCTTTATTTTGCCAACAAAAAATTTCCAAGAACAGTCACAGCGCTGTTTTGAGTCTCTGTGCAACCTGACAGCGTTTCGTTCCTGAATGAATCAACCATTTAAATGATTCGGGTTAATCGCAATGACTCACTTCTTAACAGTGACTTGCTGCCACCTGCTGGCGGTTTTAATTTCACATTTAAAGTATCTTTTTGTTTTTAAAATAATTTTAAATATCAGTATTCAATGTTTTATGTTTAAAATAACAAAAATTTATTT